AGTTCGGATGCATACCCTTTTTCGAGTAGATTATTTATTTGCATCTGAATTTTGCCATAAAGTTCACGTTCTCGGTTTATCTGTTTTTAAGACGCAGTCGAGCACCAACTAATAGTTAAACCGCGATTGGAACTAGACTACGTTTAATATTGTTACTAGGGAACTTTATTGTTCAGACGCAGCAGCTAGTGGTGTTTTTTTTTTTTTCTTTGTACTCCCGTATTTTAAGATTCTTTAAAGAATATTACAGCCGACCCCTTAATGAAAGCTTCTAACAGCACTGCTTTTTAATCCGATGTTTTTATCAGTTAAATCAAATTACAAAATGAAGATAAATTCAAGAACTTTAAAAAGTCTTCCTGTCCAATTGAGGATCGCACTGTAACTCTATGGTCGCTTGATTGACGGCGAGATGTTTTGATTGGTGTCGGGTCCAACCGATGAATTTATGTAAATAAATCGACGTTTTATAATGTAATGGGCCGGGAACAAGGCCTGCTAGCGTAAATTTATTAATAACTTGATAAATGAATAAATATTTTAATGAAACTTTGTACCTACAGTTTTGAACCTATTTTACGTAAATCCTCTAATTTTAACAAATGTGTTAGTTCTCTTACATATATAATGTGAAATTTAATCTGAATCAGAACAATCAGAATCATTATTTATTTTTGGAAAATTGATAAGCAGTCCAGCAACGAAGTTATCAAAATGAATAGACTTCGACGACTTTGTTGACGTTTTATATACTTATGTTATTAGTGGATCTAAAGATACCAGCAGGCGTGCATGACATCTTCCATTGTATTACAAATATTGTTTTTTCGAGATTGATTCTCCCGTATATTCCGGCAATCTTAATTTCTGGCTTCATGAGCTTCTTCAGAGATCATACCATTAGGAAGACCCATATGATTTATGATGTCTGCGCCATGTATTAATATCTTAAGGACAGAAGATGGCATGTAATACCATGGATATAAATCGACAAGCATTTCAGCTGAAGTTAAGGCAAGTAAAATTACACTAAAATTGTAAGTAAGTGCCTCGCTAGCTCAGGTTGGCTGAAAAATCTTCTAGCACTATTACCATTGTTGGTATTGCCACTACCAGCCATTGGTATGTCCACTAATATGCCAATTTCCTTCCTAAGCTCGACTTGTATTTTGGTTTTTCTAGCTTCCACCTCCGACTTATCTACACCACGAACTTGCCATTTCTTGATTGAAAGTCTGTCGGATGTATGTAAAACAAAGAATCGTATCCACGCATGATGACTAGATAAGCTGTATTTCAATAGATCTAAGTCAACCGGGTAACGTTTTACCAAATCCAAATTCTTCATATATTTTGGTACTGCTCTACAAATACCACATGTCTATGTGGATGCTTCTGCTAGAGCACCAAATGTTTTACCATCCATCATCGTCATATGAAATTCACGGAGTATGGTAAATGAGGTGGTAATCGTTGGCTTGATGGACAATATTTGGCTCTACACGTTGTCAGTTTCCAAAGGTGTTAACTCTCTTGATTCATTCTGACAAGATCGCGTGTTTCCCACAAAATCGTAGAACCAATTTGGACTTATAAGGGTACGAGACAAACAGTAAATAAATGCTGGTCGACCATACTTCTCTCCCCATCTTGACACTTTGGCGATAGATCGCGTGGCCACTGCTTCCGTCGCAGCCCCATTTATGTATTGCAATCAAACTTCGTTTAATATTGTCATCATTTTGGACATTTTCACACCACAAGGACTGACACTTTACACAAATACTAGAATTAGCTTAAATACGATTGAATAACGTTAGTTATAGTTAAATAAAGTCAGTAAACTGCTCAATGGCAATTCTGGCAAAAGAAACTTACAAATAACACATTTTTTACCGACACATGAAAATACAGGTCACGAACATACAATTTATATTTAGTGTACTGTAACGAACTGATTTTGTATGTTTGCTCGCTACGAGATTCGTGCGGCTAGCTCAGAAGATTGTGCGTTCGTCCCACCAAATTTATATGACGTGATTGCCCGTAGATCAGTGAGAAAACAAAGTGTTCAAATGGTAACAGTGGGATTTATTCTCGTGGTATTGGTACAGCGGGTGTGTGGCTATGCTGGTTTCTGTATCTCCTTGTTCTGGTTCCGCCGGCTGCTGGTGCTCCTCCTTCTGGCTTCTCGACGCGTTGACTCGTCCTCCTCTGGATCCTGGGTCTCGGGACGCTCGTAGTGGCCGCCTCTGCTTGCTCGCCGACGCGTTGCCTCGGGGTCGCTTGTAGCGCCTTAGACCCGCAGAGAGTTCGGCCTTGTGGGCTTAGGGAAGCGTCACCGTTCTCAGACTAGGGTGAACAAGCTTTGCTCTCCAGGCTGACGCCTTTCGAGGCAATACCTGTCCCTTGCTCTGTCCCGGACGGTCCCGCTAGGTTCTTGCTCAGTTCGCGCTGACAGTCAAGGCTGCCGCCCGGAGGCTGTCTAGCGGTTCACTTCGCTTTACGCCTAGCGCAGACGAACGTTCCACCCGGCTTCACCCTAATGCGTGACGTCCGCGACGCTCCTGCGCTCCCCAATGAGCTCCGCTCGGCGATGGTAACGCGGCTGCCGGAAATGTCTGCTGGCGTTGCTGTCGATGTCCTCTGCGCTGTCTTCTGACCAGTATCTCGTTGTTCTGGCGCTCGGGGAGCTGGGCGGTCGCTGCTCGGGAATTTCGCCGGTAATCGCAGGGCTCTCCAGGCTGACGCCTTTCGAAACCACAAATCGATCTACCGCTCGTCCGTCACGCCAGGTCCTGCTTGGTCGGGCAAGGTACGCTGGGTCGCAGACAACTTTCCTCCCCAAGCTTACGGCTCTTCGTCGTAGGACTCTTTTGCTTGTCTCTGACAGACCCGCCGGGCGACTCGCCAGGGTGTGGTCGTGACAAAGTTAGAAAACAAACGCCTTGACTTAGCCGCGTGATGCCTTTCAGAACTCAGCCACCTGTGTCTCAATTCGGAGATTCCTGATGTCCTAATCCCGAACGTCTCGACGTGGCGATCTTGCTCCTTGTATGCTTCCCACGGCGCTGCTTCCGACGACTCGCTTGGTTGTAGCTCCCTCGTAGATTATTTGCTTGACTGACTGTTTATTTGGTACTTTAATTGATCTTGAAGGTTCGACTCCTCGTGATCGACTGATCCAGCTGCCAGCGCTCTGCGGCCTTATATAGGGCCTCCAAGCACCGTTATTTCCCTTTTGCGCACGGCCCGCTGGATCTCTCCACTCTGGGTCCAAAGTCCGTGCCTCCTGGATGACCCACTTCTCCTTCACGTACCGCTTCCAATAGATGTTCCGCCCACTGCTGCCGTTCCGCTGATTCCCGTGCCGCTTGTGGCACGCCTGTGTGCCGCTCCACTGCCGAGGCACTTCCTCTCCCGGTCCAAAGTTCACGGGATAGTCCAAAGTCCCGTGGAGTTCCGTTATCCCCTTTTGCATACGGCACTCTTGCTCTGCCCGCGAAGTCTCCCTTCTCTCTCGATCTCCATCCTTGGTCTCCAATCTCTCTCGCTCTCCTTCATTGGTCTCCAAACTCTCTCGCTCTTCTTCGTTGGTCTCCAAACTCTCTCGATCTCCTTCATAGGTCTCCAAACTCTCTCGCTCTCCTTCGTTGGTCTCCAAACTCTCTCGATCTCCTCGCCGCGCCGTTACTACGCGAATTCGCCGCGTATCTGGTAAGCGGCCGGCCATCTGCTGCTGCTTCTATTTGTGGGGAGTTATTCAACTCCTCACATTCCCCCCTTACTTCGGGAAACATTTAAGACTGGTTCCTACTCTCCGGCGTTTCCTTGCTTATCCTAGCCTTTGAGTCCTTGTGATTCCCGCGGCGCTCCCTCGTTGCTCCCTCGATGCTCCCTCGACGCTCTTAACTCCCTTGACTTTCTACAGCGGGGGTCATCCGCCTCGTAGCAACTTTAAATCTCCCGCGCCGAATTTCCTGTGTTCCCACTGGGACATCGATACTCCTGGGCTATCGATCCCCAGCTCGCTGCTCATTGCTGCGTCTCACTCCTTTCCGTGTTTCCTCCGCCTGGTCACACCATTCGTGCGTGATCGATATTTGTTCGCATATCGATACCGACGGTGCGGCGTTGCCACCTGCTCGTTTGCGATATTTCCACCTTGGCCGATATTTCCATTGTCGTGTGCCCATCGATCGCACTATCGTCCAGTGCCAATCGATCGCCTATCGAGGCGCCCCCTTCCCTGGCTCGTGGTGATTTTCAAATTTTTCATGGGTAAGTTCCTTTTACATTTCCTCTACTCCTTCTCATCTTATCCTTCTCTCTCCTTTCGTCCTCTCTCGCCCTTCACTCGTCCTCTATCGGCTGCATCGGACTCCATTTTGGCAGCTCTCGAGAGCGGGTGCGGAGAGGACTTCGCATTCACTTTGCAACCGGGACAGCAGGTAAGTAATTGGCGTTCATTTTTTCTTCCTGGACTAAGACCATTCGACTTACAGGTTGCTGGAGTGGCCCATGCATGCCCCGTTCTTCTTCTAGCCACCCCAATCAAACTCTGGGCCCCGTAGCCCTTCTCTTGTTGTTTTGGAAAACCCTTGTGTTGTTTTGTGATTTTTTTTCATTTATTGTGCGAAAACCCGGATGCCCGCGACTCCGAGCCTCACCCGGTACCTCCTCCCGCCATCGCAGACCAGGACGCACCGCCTGCCGCCCTTCCGCCGTGCCGTCGCGACCGCGGGTGCTTCCTCAATGCCCACCGGCCACTCGCTCCTGGCGACCTCGCGCCAACCGCCTTCCTCCGGCGCCGATACCTGCCGCATGAACTGCGGCCGCGGGCGCGTCGATCCGGGCGTCGAATTTTGTCGCTGCAGCGGAGGCCTTTGGGTGGCCGGTGGCTCGGGCCACACCCATGGTCCTTTCTCCGGTGACTCCGCCTCCCCCGTCGTTGCCGTCGTCGCCGGTGTTGGCGGGCCCGTGCTTGGTGTCGGCGGGACTCATGCATCTTGTCGGCTCCTCGTCCGGGGATCCCGAGGGTTCACCTTTGGTGCCCCCTCCTCCCATATCCTGGGCACCTCCTTCGACGGTCCTGTCGCGGGCCCCTCGGGCCACGTCCATGTCACCGTCTGCTGCCGCCACCGCATGCCCTCGGCCTCGAACGCCCGTGTGCTGTGGCTCACGTGCGCGGCCGGCACCTCCGTCCGCACCACCGACGGCTCGTCCGCCCTTGCCTGGTGGACGTCCTCCTCCTCAGGTTGCGGCATCGGCTGCGCGGTCGACTCCTCGCTCGGCGTCTGCTCCTCCGGTCGTCGTGGCTCCGCGTATCGCGGCGTGGGTGGCCGGGCCGGCCTCCACGGCGGCGTGGCCAACGGTGCTCCATCGTCGCCGTCCGTGAGCCACTCCCCCTCGTAGCGGGGAGTGGGTGGCACCTCGGGTAACCACCGCGGAGGGGATGGCGCGCGTGGTTCGTCCTCGTCCTCGTCCCTCGGGCTGCGTTCCTCGGCTGCGTATCTGGGGGTGAGTGGCACCTCCCACGCGTCCTCCACCTGTGCCTCCCACAGCCGTCGCTCTTCTTCCTCCGCCTCTCGCAAGCGGGCATGCCACCGCGCCGCCGCCGCCTCGTGGTCCTGCCGCAGCCGCGCCTGCCTTCTCGCCTCCTCCTCCGTCGACCGTTGCTGCTCCTCGTCCGACGGCTCCCGGTCTCGGAACCGCTTCCGAGACTCCTCGGTGGCCCGACAGACCGCCTCCGAGTGGCTCCTCGGGAGTTCCTCTCCTCCGACGTCCGTCGTCCCGCGCGGTATCCGACCGCCCGCCGCCGCCTTCCGGAGTCGCCACTCTCTCTCCTCGACGGCGGGATCGCCGATCATCTCCACGTCGCTGTCGTCGCTCACCGCGGGTTCCGGTGCGGAGTCCTCGCCTCGAGTCCGCTCCAGGGCCCGCCGCGGAGCTCGGGTAGGCCGGGTCTCCGACCATCCTTGCCCCGGGCGAGGTTCCTGGAGGGCCGCCATCCTCCTGCGTGTTTCGGCTCTGGTGACGCGTGTGCTCATGATGGTGTTCTGAATTTTAGTGCTCGACCGTCACCAGGCTCCCCATACATGAAACCTCGGTTGCGCGCCTTCCTTTTGCCCGATACCGTTATGTCCTTTTTTTTTGGGCGCTCGCTCTCTTACGGTACAGCTCTCTTTGCTGTACCGTCTTCCCCCTTTCTTCGTAAACCACATGTTGTATTCCCTCAGATCACCGTGGCCCTCTGGATGCTGCGGTGCGTTGTACCTCCCGGTTCCGTAATTAACTTGATCACCTTTGGTGAGTATTCTTGGAAGTTGTCCTTGGGCCTACACCTTGCTTCGGGGCGTTCCTGGTTGGTATCCTTGGTGTCCTTGGGTTATTATTGGGGTATCCTTGAGGTGTCTTTCGAGTCCTATTGGGGTATCCTTAGGTATCCTTGGGGATCGTTGGGCTATCCCTAGTGTATCCTTTGGGTGTCCTTTGGGTACGCTTAGAGGTATTGTTGGGGCGTCCTTCGGGTATAGTTTGGGAACACTTAGGGTATCCTTCGGGTATAGTTTGGGCACACTTAGGGTATCCTTCGGGTGTCCTTTGGGTATCCTTTAGAGGTGTTGTTGGGGTGTCCTTCGGGTATATTTCGGTCACACTTAGGGTATCCTTCGGGGTCCTTTGGGTACGTGATGTGCTTTCGCTACTGTTTTGTCGACCTTGTCCGTTTCCTTCCCGCTTGGCCTAAACCCGGATGGCTCTGGCAACTGCCCGACGCTGAATCCTGATGCCTTGCGGTTGGATCCCTACATGTTACCCGTGTCTTTGTGTCGTCCTCGTAAGTGTCCCTTCTGCCTGGCGTAAACGCGGATGACTCTGGCCACTGCCCGACGCTGAATCCTGATGCCTTGCGGTTGGATCCCCATCCATCCTTATCCACGTCCTTGTGACCTATCCTTGTAATTATCCTTTCTGCGTGGCGTGTGGATGACTCTCGCTTAGGCCTGACGCTGAATCCTGATGCCTTGCGGTTGGATCCCCATCCATCCTTATCCACGTCCTTGTGACCTATCCTTGTAATAGTCCTTTCTGCGTGGCGTGTGGATGACTCTCGCTTAGGCCTGACGCTGAATCCTGATGCCTCGCGGTTGGATCCCCATCCATCCTTATCCACGTCCTTGTGACCTATCCTTGTAATTGTCCTTTCTGCGTGGCGTGTGGATGACTCTCGCTTAGGCCTGACGCTGAATCCTGATGCCTTGTAGACTGGATCAACGTGAAATCCTTATCCATGTCCTTGCGACCTATCCTTATGGTTGATCTTTCTGCGTGGCTTGTGGATGACTCTCGCTTAGGCCTGACGCATAATCCTGTAGCCTCGCAGTCTGGATCGACGTGGAATCCTTATCCATGTCCTTGCGACCTATCCTTATGGTTGATCTTTCTGCGTGGCTTGTGGATGACTCTCGCTTAGGCCTGACGCATAATCCTGTAGCCTCGCAGTCTGGATCAACGTGAAATCCTTCTCCATGTCCTTGTGCTACGCTGACTGTCCTTTCCGTGTGGCGTATTGATGACTCTCGCTTCGGCCTGACGCCTAATCCTGTCGCCTCGTACCTGACGTTTCTGCTGTCTGCTCGTTTTGTTGTTGCTTGAGCTCGCCAACGTGAATTGTCCTTTCTTTCTTCGACTGTGTGTGGCGAATTTTGCAGATCACTGGAGAGACGAAATCTACCACCTGGTAAGGGCCATCGTACCTCGGGGCTAGTTTTGCAGCGAATCCTTCTGCCGCTTTGGACAGGTGATGTTCCTTGGCCCATACTATATCGCCCACCGCTGGTGACCACTGTCTCATTCTCAGATTGTAGTGTCTGGCTTGGTCCTGGGACGCCTTTTCCATATTTCGCCGCACGATCTCGAATACCTCTCTTAGTTTGTTGGCATTTTCCTCAGGGGTCTCCGTAGCTCGTCCGGTTCCTAGGGTTTCCTTATCGTATAGGCTGCTGGGTAGACGTGGTTCCCTTCCCTGGGTAAGAAACGCCGGTGTATGGCCGGTGGATTCCGATGTGCTCGTGTTCACTGCTAGCATAATCTCCGGCCACTTCTCGTCCCAGTTTCTCTGGTCCTGCCCTGCGAACTGGGCAATCATGGTCTTGACCGTTCTGTTTGCTCGTTCGGTTGGATTCTCTTGTGGTGTGTATGGCGCGGTGAATTGTTGACTGATACCCATCTCAGCCAGGAAATTTTTAAATATGCGGCTTGCAAACTGTACTCCATTGTCCGTTATGACCACCTTCGGGACCCTGTACCTTGCGATTATGCGCTCCCTAAATGCCTTTTTGAGCGACTCTGCCGTCGCACTGCGTAGGGGCACCAGTTCCGTCCATTTCGAAAACCTATCTATCATGACCAGCAGCATTTGGTTCCCGTGCTTAGATCTTGGTAGGGGTCCAACGAAGTCTGCACATACCGTGGCCCATGGTTCCTCCGGCACTTGGGTCAACATCTTCCCAGCCGCCTGCATCTGATTGGGCTTAAACCGCATGCAAATCTCGCATTTTCGTACGTGGGCTCGGGCGTCTCTATGCATGCCTGGCCAGTAGTATCGGGCTGCCAACCGTGCAATTGTCCTTCGGCTTCCTACGTGTCCCGCGGACGGTGCGTCGTGGTTTTCCCTCAACACTGTTTCTCGTAGTGACTTCGGGACGCACATCTTCCATGACGCGACGTCTTCACTGCCTGCTCGGTGAGGTATGTTTCTGTACAGTGTCTCACCATCCATAACATAGTCCGGGTACTTCTGCGGTTGGGTCCTTATCTTTTCGCCCATGTCCTTGATCCAGCTGCACCCTCCTGAAGCTGTAGTTGCCGATGCCTCCTTTAAACCTCGTAGCGTTTCCGGTAGTGGTTGTCTTGATAATGCGTCGGCCACCACGTTTAGCTGGCCCTTTCTGTACGCTATCTCAAAGTCGTACTGTTGTAGCTCCAGGGCCCATCTGGCGATCCTTCCTGAAGGGCTTTCGATGCTGTTGAGCCACTTCAGGGCCATGTGGTCGGTTACTACCTTAAAGTGGTAACCTTCCAGATATGGCCTGAGCTTCCGGATCGCCCAGACGATCGCCAAGCACTCCTTCTCCGTTGTCGAGTAGTTCTTTTCCGCGCCGTTCAGTGTTCGACTCGAGTAGGAGATTACTCTTTCGCCCTTTTCGGTGTCCTGGGTCAGTATCGCTCCGATGCCGTAGTCGCTGGCGTCTGTTTGCAGGATGAAAGTTCTACTGAAGTCCGGGCATGCTAGTACTGGATCTGCCACGAGTCTTGCCTTGACCTCCTCAAACGCCATCTGGTGCTCGGGTGTCCACTCCCACTTACTGCCTTTGCGCAGCAGGTCGTTCAGGGGTTTGACGATTCTGGAGAAATCTGGTACAAACCGGCGGTACCACGACGCTACTCCTAGGTATTGCCGGAGCTCTTTGACAGTCGATGGCGGTTCTAGTTCGGCGATGGCGGCTACTTTTTCTGGATCTGTTCCTATTCCCTCGCTAGTCACTCGATGACCCAGGTACAGCAGCTCCTTTTTGAAGAATTGGCATTTTTCTGGATTCAGCCTCAGATTTGCCTCCTTTAGACGCCGGAACACTTCCTTCAGGTTTCTTTTGTGTTCTTCCAGCGTGCGACCGATCACTATTATGTCATCCTGGTAAGCGAATGCGTGAGGTGACATCTCGGGGCCGATTACTTGGTCCAAGACTCGCTGAAACGTTGCCGACGCCGAGTGAAGTCCGAACGGCATTACCCTCCACTGAAACAGACCTTTGCCTGGTACCGTAAATGCTGTATATTGCCTGCTACTTTCTTCTAGTGGGATCTGCCAGTATCCATCCTTCAGGTCCAAACTGCTGATGTACCGCGCTTCTCTTAGTTGATCTAGGATGTAGTTTATGCGGGGCATTGGGTAGGCATCCTTCACTGACTTCGCGTTGATCTGCCTGAAGTCGACACACAGTCTCCACTTGCCTGTCTTCTTTTTCACCATCACGATGGGCTCTTTGAATGCTCTATGAACCCCATTTGGAGAAGCTCGTCCACCTTTGCGTTGATTTCCCCTTGAATTTTTGGGTTCTTTGGGTAGTATCTCTGCTTGATTGGCTTGTCGTCCTTCATTTTGATCTGGTGTTCTGCCATATTCGATGTTCCCGACATTGTGCTGAAGTCTGCCAACTCGTTTACTTGTTGAACGACTGCTACTGATAGCTTCTCCTCGAGCCATCCATTGTGTCGGTTCCTGGCTGGTATTATTATTTCGTGTCCAGCACACCTTATCTCGGTTCCGACTTGTTTCAGGAAGTTCCATCCCAACACTAATGGATCCACTACCCCGGTAAAAATCAACAGGCTCATGGTCACTTGTTTGTTGCCGAATTTGACCTCCACCTCGAGCTGCGCATCAATTCCGCCGCACCTTCCATCTGCCAACCTAACTTGCCGTCTCGTCCTGGTAATCTTTCCTAGAGCAGCAATATTGTCCGCCAATTCTTCGCTAACGAAGCTTGCCGTTGCTCCGGTGTCGATTGTGGCTTTGTAGCTTTTCCCACCAATCATCACAGCTGCGGACAACTGCTGCTCCTCCTCGATTAGCTTGCCCGTTAGTTTGGAGAGGTGGCACTGTGCGATCCCCGCTCGCCTCTCTGCGGCTGAGATCGCTGGCCATTTCCCGATCGTTGGCAGCAATCGACGCTCCTGACACCCACCTTGCCGCATATCCAGCAAAACAGCAGCCGCTGGTTTCGACATCCTCTAGCCCAGTGTCCGTTCCCACCGCATTTCCGACAGGCCTCCTGCGGGTCTGTGATATGGGTGGCCTCTTGTGGCCTCTGTGTGTTGCTTGGCGGCCTCCACAAGGTATTGTTTGGCTGTCTCTGTTGCTGTGGGGGTGGTGCCCAATGGCCTCCGCGTGGTGCGTCTGTTGCCTGCTGTCGTCTGGCTTGGTGTGGTGGTGACCATTGATCGTTTC